ACCACCTTTAAAGCGCTTCATGGCATAGGACCCGGTTATCTCCGAGACCGCCTTCTGCCGCAGATTCCCTCCCATAGACCGGTACGCTCCCACAGAGTGGGTCTCCTCAGGGTGCCGTCGGCCAAGCAATGTCGGCTGGCGACCCCCAGGGGGAGGGCCTTCTCTGTGGGTGCCCCTGCCCTCTGGAATGAACTACCCCCCAAGATTCGGACGATTCTGGATCTCCTTACCTTCCGTCGCGCCCTCAAGACATGGCTTTTTCAGCAAGCGGACCTGGCCTAGGGAGGATTTTATACTGGGTTCATTTTAAGGAATTCGAAATAACACAACTTTAAAATTTGGTTTAATTCGGTTTTACAGGGGGGGATTGTATATATACCTTTGTTTTAAATATGTTGTGAGCCGCCCTGAGTCTCGTCGGGAGAAGGGCGGGATACAAATTAAATTAAATAAATAAATAAATAAATAAATGCTCAGTTTCACATAACTCTAATACCCAACTTCACCTTGACTCTCAACTGAATCTGCTCTGTGGATTAGCAACAGGAGACCCAAACTTGTTTTTCTCGATCTGGAGTATGAAGCGTAGCTATTGCTCAGTAAATAGGATAATTGCTTTTCCATGAAATTATCAGAAAAACAATAATTTCTAATGTATCCCCTATAGATTTCTATCTACAAAAATCTTCTGAGATAAAACCTGCTTTAAATTATATACTCGGAGTTCTCCTGGTGGGGGCAGACATATTACTTCATCTTGTCTTCCAAAGAGCTGACTCTGAGGTTTGGTGAGATTCAACTGGGTGAGACTCAGCTAGGCTTAGTTTCCTCTTTGGTCACAGTCCAAGGTAAGAGGAAGCATGGTTGATATAAATTTGCATTGGGGGCATCAAGGTGACAAGTTCTACCTGCAATTCACCTTCTGCCCAAACCTGGATTTCTGATCTAGGAAGGGAAGGTGAGAAGAATGGTTGGGCTGCGTCTCCTACTGCTGCTGCTCTTCTGGTTCCTGCCTCCACCGGCTGCTAAGAGGATGCAAACTGGGTGTGTGTTGAAAAACACTTTACAGATTACAAGAGACTTTTACAGAACTGGTGATTTCATTATTGGTGGGAATTTTCCTCTGGGAACCATACATGCATCCAGTATCCACAACTTTCAGAAAGACCCATCTCTGCTTAAAGAAAGTATTTTGTAAGTTTCACCCAGAGGGGAAAAATGTAAATAATTATTTGATTGCTTTGTATTCAGGGACTCTTTTCAGAAAGACTTGTTTTAGTGATGTTTGCAATGTCGTATCATAGTTCAAATCTTTGTGCTTTTCTCAATAAAGAGCCAAACTCATAAAATAGGTAAGAATTCTCTATCTTTTCAGAACTCTTGATCAGCAATAGCAATAGCACTTAGACTTATATATCACTTCACAGTGCTTTACAGCCCCGTCTAAGCAGTTTACACAGTCAACGTATTGCCCCCAACAATCCGCATCCTCATTTTACCGACCTCGGAAGGACGGAAGGCTGAGTCAACCTTAAGCTGGTGAGGATCGAACTGCTAAACTGCAGACAGACAGCAGCTAGTAGAGGTAGCCTGCAGTACTGCATTTTAACCACTGTGCCTCCACAGATCATCAGGAAGCTAATAAACCACCCAAAATGTGAGGCGAAGAAGTTGACTTACAATATTAGTTTGGCCAGAAAGTCATGGTGCAAAACTGAAAGAAGAGGTCAACCCCTTGACACTCTGGAAGAGTTTTAAGAAATGCCTCAGTTTTGGAATCAGGATTGCTCTGACCCCACTGGAGGCTTGTACTCAGCAATGATTACCAGACCAGAAGAAGCTGTTCCAAGAGAGGACCAAATTGATTGGGGTGGAAGAAGAGCAATTGGGAAGGACCATACCCCCTGGAGCAAAAGTGAAGAAGGGAGGGACAATAGAGAGGTATAAAATGATCTGGGATATGGACAGATAGGATTTTCTCCTTTCTCTCAGAACCATCAAATATTAATCAAGGAATATCCTTAAGAAAATTAGAATGGAATGGAACGGAACGGAACGGAACGGAACAGAACAGAACAGAACAGAACAGAACAGAACAGAACAGAATAGAATAGAATAGAATAGAATAGAATAGAATAGAATAGAATAGAATAGAATAGAATAGAATAGGAAGGGACCTTGGAGGTCTTCTAATCCAGACCCCCTCTCAAGCAGGAGAACCTATACCATCTCAGACAAGTGACTGTCCAGTTTCTTCTTAAAAACTTCCAATGAAATTTGGGACTTCCTACTGCAAAGAACATTTTTTAAAAAACACGATAAATTCCACCAGCAAACACAAGCTTTCCTTACAATTTCCCCAATGATTTTCTCACTGTAGAGTCATAGCCAAGAATTACCAGCAGTTCACAGCCTTGGTGTTTGCAGTCACAGAACTCAACAAGGATCTAGTTCTCCTCTCCAACATCACACTTGGCTTCCACATTTATAGCAATTTTCAGACTGAGGTGGCAATTTGCTCAAACAGTCTCTCCCTGCTCTCCACACGGGGCCGAATGGTTCCGGGTTATAAATGTGACAGGCAGGACCCTCTGCTCTCTGTCATTGGAGATCTCAATCCCAAATCCTCCAGGCTGATGGCCTCCATCTTCAGCATCTTCAAGGTCCCGCAGGTAAGGGGAGCTGCACTGGATACAGTATCAGGTAGACAAACAACAAAGTGAAGACACAGAGACACAGAAAAGGTGGTTTGGGGGACATATATTTATATTTTTGTGTCAAGATATGTTTTTATAGAACCCAAAAATGATAGCTAATGAGATAATTTTGAAATGTGGTATTTGCCAAGAGGAATTCCTTCCTAATCTATTCTTCATCAAAATGTAGTGTAGTATATTCTCTGTATTAAGTTGACGGATTGTTCCCTTGGCTTCTGACATGTCATCACCAGGCATCACTTCTTCCTAATATGTAATCCTTCTTCCTAAGAAGGCCAGAAAATTAAGCTTGCCATTCAAAGTGAGCCAGCCTAATAGGTGAGGCAATAATCCACATAATGGTGATCCCTAAAATTTACTCTCTCAAGAATCTCACTTTCTCCAGCTCGGTGTTGGCTTTGAGTCCACTCAAGGAAGCAGAATAGTTTACCCTTCCTTCTTCTGGATCAATCCCAAGGAATTTCCTCAATATGAGGGTTTAGCCCAGCTGCTCCTGTATTTCCAGTGGAACTGGGTTGGATTTATTGCCTCTGAAAGTGAGAGTGGAGAACGTTTCGTCTCATCTCTGATGCCAATGCTTAAGAAGAAGGAGATCTGCCTGGCCTTCAGTGAAATGTTGAAATTGGATTTTCTTACTACTACAGTGTTGAACTTTCTTCCTATTCTGGAGACATGGTCTAAAGCTGAAGTGATTATTCTGTTTGGAGACTCCAATAGTATTACAAATGTACAGGTAGCAATGAGTGTCAATGAATATTTGACAAAGACGTCATTTTGGAAAGTTTGGATCTTAACTTCCCATTGGAAACTTAGCGTGGTGAGGAATCGAAACATATTGAAAGCAGTCAAGCCCTTCCATGGGGCCTTGCATTTTAGGCACCACACCGGGGATGTCTCAGAATTCAGCCATTTCCTCCTGTCTTTAGACCCCTTGAAGTCACAAGGGGACATCTTTCTCCCACTCTGCTGGGAAATGTTGTTTGACTGCAGGTTCCACAAGCCAGGCAGGATCCTTCCAAAAGGGAAAAAACAATGTACAGGAAAAGAGAATTTACAGAGTCTACCTTCTTACATTTTTGAAACTAGCATGGAAGGTGAAAGTTACAATATCTACAATGCCGTTTATGCTGTGGCACATGCATTGCATGCCATATATGGATCTGGAGGACGACCAACCATGATGAGGCTTGGAAGGAGGATCTCAAATATTCAACCATGGCAGGTAATCTCAGTGACTTTTTCTCTAGTCCACAGATTCCTAGTTACCTATATGCATTTCTTGAATCACTGATTAAATATCTGTATGCTATCGATGTATCTAAGAAGAGATTAAGATAGCAATTATTTTAAAACAGAGGGATAGAATCAAGATCAGGTGAAGTGTTAATACCACTTTACAAGGCCTTGGTAAGGCCACACTTGGAATACTGCATCCAGTTTTGGTCACCAGGATGTAAAAAAGAGGTTGAGACTCTAGAAAGAGTGCAGAGAAGAGCAACAAAGAGGATCAGGGGACTGGAGGCTAAAACATATAAGGGACAGTTGCTGGAATTAGATATGTCCAGTTTAACAAAGAGAAGGACGAAGGGGGACATGATAGCAGTGTTCCAGTATCTCAGGGGCTGCCACAAAGAAGAGGGAGTCAAGCTATTCTCCAAGGTGCCGGAAGGCAGGACAAGAAGCAACGGATGGAAACTAACCAAGGAGAGAAGCAACTTAGAACTAAGGAGAAACTTCCTGACAGTTAGAACAATTAACCAGTGGAACAACCTGCCTCCAGAAGCGGTGAATGCTCCAACACTGGAAGTTTTTAAGAAGAGACTGGACAGCCATTTGTCCGAATTGGTATAGGGTTTTCTGCCTGAGCAGGGGGTGACCTCCAATCCCTTCCAACTTTACTATTATTATTATTATTATTATTATTATTATTATTATTATTATTATTATTATTATTATTATTATTATTATTATTATTATTATTATTACAACTTTAATTTGCATTGTGAGAGTTTTTTTGTTGAAAAGGAATAGATGGAGGAAAAAGAGAATTAAACCAAACCAAGAGCAAAGAGCTTCCTAAAAGCTTCTGGAAGGATATCAATGGTTGCCTAAAAGTTAGCTGTGACCACTCCAGGGAGGAGTGGTCAGCCCGGAGCATGATGACAATCTGGGTGCTTTTGTGCAAAATGCTTTAACAGGTCATTTCTAGTCTTAGTGAGTACATTTGCAGAAGCATCCCAGTTTCTCTCAGTAGGTAGCCCGAATCCAATCTGTAAAAATACACTCAATTCATTTTAATGTTGGTTTAGGTTACTGTGGCTTAGAATTCTTGGGTGACTCCACCCCATTTTTTTAGTATGACATTTCTTGTACTGCTTTATTTGTTGTGTTAAGCCTCTGTCCACCTCAGCATATGCAGCAGAACCCAACATGGTCCTAAAGGGCTCCTGATCTGAAATTCATCAGACTTTTCAACATCAAAGGCTAAATTATTCCTCTCTCGACCCGTGAAATAACAAACCCTATATTATTTCAGACAAATGGCTGTCCAGTCTCTTCTTAAAGACCTCCAATGTTGGAGCATTCACCGCTTCTGGAGGCAGGTTTTTCCACTGGTTAATTGTTCTAACTGTCAGGAAGTTTCTCCTTAGTTCTAGGTTGCTTCTCTCTTTGGTCAATTTCCACACGTTGCTTCTTGTCCTGCCTTCAGGCGCTTTGGAGAATAGCTTGACTCCCTCTTCTTTGTGTCAACCCCTCAGATATTGGAACACTGCTATCATGTCATCCCTTGTCTATCTCTTCATTAAACTAGACATATCCATATTCATTTCTGTTAGTAAGGATTAGATCCAATATGATTAATCCCCTAGTTCCCTTCTCTACTTTTCGGGAGACAAAGTTGTCTGCTAGATTTGTCAGGAATCTGTTTGATCTTCCACTTGGTGCAGAGTTTGTCTCCCAGTTGATGGCAGGGTAATTAAAGTCCCCCATTACTATTGTGATGTGCTTCTTACCTACCTTAGTTAGTTGACTAGCAAAAAGTTCATCTATTACCTCTGTTTGGTTGGGTGGCCTATAGTATACAGCTATGGCAATGTCCTTTTCCCCCCTTTTATATTGACCAAAATGCATCCAAGACAGTTTTCATCATTGTTGTGCTCTATTTCTGTAGAGATGTAATTATTTCTTATATAGAGAGCAACTCCGCCTCCTCTTTTATTTGGTCTATTTTTTAAAAAAAATTTAAATTCCTCTAGCTGTGTGTTCCATTTGTTGGTTTTACCCCACCATGTTTCCGTAATGGAAACAATATCATATCTGCACTCATTTACGTGAATTTCTAATTCACCCTGTTTACTGTTCATACTCTGTGCATTGGTGTATAGACATTTGAGTCCTTTATGACTGACCCTGTGTTTACTTTCTACATAACCTGTGTGGTGCCTGGGTTCCCCTATTTTCTTACCACCTGTTTGGTTACTGCACTTTGTGTGGCACTCCCTATTAAAAGCTTGATTTTGCTTGATAGCAAGATTGATATTCTTTTCCACACACACATCTATGTTACATGCACTGCTAACCATGTAATTTTTTGATTGCCAAGGACAGGGATGTATCAATTAACTCATTGTACCTGTTGTTTAGTTTAAATATTCCTCCAGGAAATCTGTGAGTTTATTGCCAAGTAACTCAATCCCTTTCTTTGATGCATGCAAACCATCTCTTTTGTACATTATTTCATTGGACCAGCTACAGACATTGTGATTAATATAACCAAAGCCTTCCCCTTTACACCACTCCTTTAGCCACATATTGAATTCTGCTATACGCTGGCCTTTTCCATTTTGCTCCTTATACACTGGTAAAACACTGGAATTGAAGAAGCCATGATATAAACATCCAATAATAAAGAGAATATGTTGTCATTTTGGGGATGGAGTTGAATATTTGATATTAGTTCTGATTGCTTAGATTTCCACCAAGGGAACTCATTTAGCTTTTTAAATATAGACACATCTCCTAAGATGATGACCATTACATTATGATAGAAACCAGGATGTATTATGTGTAGCATTCAGCCAATTAATCCAGGTGCCTTTTCGTTCAGATTCTTCCCTATCTGAAGAACGTCAAGTTCAACAACAGTGCTGAAGAAGTCTCCTTCTCAGAAAATGAATTGGTATCTGCTGGTTATGATCTTCTTAACTGGCTTTTCCTCCCCAATCAATCTTTTGTCCCCATGAAAGTTGGACAAATAGATCCAAGGGCTCCCCCAGGTCAGAATTTCACCATTAACTCTGATGGAATCATCTGGGCCACAAAAGTGAGTTGAAAGTAAATCTTATAAATTCAGGAAAGGCTTCATTCTCTCCTGGGGCGGCAGAACATCCTTCTAATTGGAAAACAGCTCTATTGAATCAGAAAATATTTCAGGAATTTGTTGAAAAAACCTGCTTATGAATTTAACACATTTGAGATTTGATTTTGAAAAGTCCAAGATGGGGTAGGATTGGAAAGAAACCCAGGATACCATTAGAGCAGGCAACAGTGATTTCTATGGACAGTTCCCATTCAGCTGGATCCTCACGATTCTTTGTTTTAGAAAAGCTGTAACTCAATGTCACAAACCTTTCTTTGCATTTTGAGATCCCATTTCTGATCTCCAGCATCCATTGGGTCAGGATTACCACTGGCCTGAATCCCCCTGGAGCTTATTCTTGTTTCTGATAGGCCATTTCTTTTGGAAGACATTCTAAAGATGGAAACAGAAATATAGAAAGAGACAAATGAAGCATACTTATTACTTAGGCCATCTCAAACATTTTTTTTGTCTTTTAGAAGGTGCCCTTTGCCAGGTGTGGCATGAAGAGATGCCATGCAGGAGAGAGAAGACATGCTCCAGAGGGCAAGCAGGTTTGCTGCTACCAATGTGACCCTTGTCCAGAAGGGACCATTTCAGATCACACAGGTAGGGCAGAGCTCAAATGTTGATTTTGCGGGAAGTCATTCAGTGAGGAAAAAAAATTAGCATCAATTTTGGTAGCATTCTTTATCTGCTTCAATATATTCATACTTTTCTTGCTCGTCAGCAATTTAATACAGATTAGTTTCATGGCAGAATTTATAGGTTCCCTGCTAGACTTTCCACTCCTACTTTTACATCCCATCAGCAAAACCAGCTGCAAATTTTTCTGTGAAAGAATGGGATGTGAGATTCAAGCTTTAATTTTTAATAAGAATAAAGGAGAGTTCTTGTCTCAGAACTTATCAATCTCCCAGGAAATTCATAGACCTGTTGGAACAAGAGGAGATCCATTTACCTATGTCTGCTAACCCTTCCCTGCAAAAAAGATCGAATGAGTGGATTTGAAGTATAAAGCAGAGAGGTTGATCCTTTTTCCTGGCTAACCTATTCCCAAGGTCATCAATATGGATGGATGATTTGCCCCTGTTGATTCACCATGAAATGCACACTGACTCTTGATTTCAGATGCAGCTTGCTGTGACCCCTGCCCAGAAGACCGATATCCCAACAAGGACAAGGACCACTGCATTGCCAAGAAGATCCACTTCCTTTCCTATCAAGACACCCTGGGATATGCTTTAGCTTCTCTAGCTCTTTCTCTCTCTGTGATCACATCTGCAGTCCTGGTGATTTTCTTTAAGCATCGCGACACACCAATTGTCAAAGCCAACAACCGAGATCTCACCTACATCCTCCTGGTCTCCCTCCTGCTCTGCTTCCTCTGCTCTTTCCTCTTTATTGGTCGACCAGGAAAACTCACCTGTCTCTTCCGACAAACTACCTTTACGATTCTCTTTTCCCTTGCAGTTTCCTCTGTCTTGGCAAAAACTGTCATGGTGGTTCTGGCCTTCATGGCTACCAAGCCAGGGAATAGGACAAGGAAACTCTTAGGAAAACCACTGACCAACTCCATTGTCATAGCTTGTCCCATGGTTCAAGCAGTTCTTTGTGCCGTCTGGCTGGTAATCTCTCCCCCATTTCCCAACTTGGACTTCCATTCTCTGGTAGGAGAGGCCATCTTGGAATGTAATGAAGGCTCAGCTTTAATGTTTTATGCTGTCCTCGCCTACCTGGGTTTTTTGGCCTTTATCAGTTTCACTGTGGCTTTTCTCGCTAGGAAATTGCCTGACAGCTTTAATGAAGCCAAGTTCATTACTTTCAGCATGCTGATCTTTTGCAGTGTTTGGCTCACCTTCCTCCCCACCTACCTGAGTACCAAAGGGAAGTCCATGGTGGCCGTGGAGATCTTCTCCATCTTAGCCTCTGGGGCTGGTCTCTTGGCTTGCATCTTTTCCCCCAAATGTTGCATTATCCTATTGAGGCCCCATCTGAACTGTAGAGAAAACATAATGAGGCACAAGAATCTTTGACTTATGTAGGGATTGGGAAATTTTCTTTTGACTTTAGGGCTTTTTGCCAGTTGTGCCAAAGAAGCCTTGGAGGTCAACATAATAAACTTTGAGATTAAAAATGTGAATATCATTTTTAGCCAGACAGTTTCTTACCTTATTTATTTGAATCAAAAGCATTGCTATCTGTTTTTTAAGCAAGTTTCTTTCCCTAGACCTCTGAGGTTTTGCTGAGTAAAAACCTTTTCATTCAACTATTAAAGTTTCTTTAATTCTAGAGTTTAAATGAGTTCCATTTTTCTTTTCTATTAACTTAATAGAGAAACATTTTATTCATAAATAACATAGTGCGAAATAGACATTAATGGATATTTTCCTGCCCTTGCAATTTTTTTTCTCTTTCCAACCATTATGAAGGAAGGAAGGATTGGCAGATGGATGGAAGTAAGGAAGAAAAGATGGGTGTGAATAAAGGAAATATATTGTGACCTGTTTATTATTGAGCAGGAAAAAAGACAAAATTGTTGTCTTGCTTGTTCAATAAATGTATAGACAATTGTTCAGGAAATGCTTAGAAACTGATTATTTGGGAAGTCTCATATCTGTGTACTTGTATGTACAGATTTTGTTTATTTATTTTTATCCTGCCTTTATTATTTTTACAAACCATCCAAAGTGGCAAACATATCCAACATGTCTTCCTCCTCCATTTTCTCCATACACACACACACATAAACAAAGCCCCGTGAGGGGTGTTGGGCTGAGATAGACTGATGGGCCCAGTCACCTATATGGCTTTCACAGTTAAGGCAAGATTTGGACTCATTGCCTCCCTCTTTCTAACCTGGTGCCTTAACCCCTAGACCAAACTGGCTCTCTAGAATATTCTCTAGTATACCATACTGAGATGGTATGTTGTCTCTGGAATCAAATTATTTGCAGGAAATGTTCCACAGATTTTATATACATACTCACTGAGACTATTGTCATGGGTTCTTTTAAGTAGACTCAAGTCAGTGAGTTCCAAAACACTAGAGAGCCAACACATCAATGCAGGCCCATAGACAACACACAAACACAAACACAAGCATTCACAAGGCTGCTATATTTCCATCCACAAACTGCCTGAATGCCTGCTGGACAGCAGCCAAGGGTGGGACCTCTCTCCTCCAGTCAACACTGATTGTTATCTGTCCCATAGAAATGAAAAGAAACAGCAGAATGCAGTCCCATTCACTCCCATTCCATGGACCCGTTAGAGAAGGATACTATGGTCAGTGATATTGAAGACCACTCAAAGGTCACATTGAGCCAAGATGGATGCACCTCTCTCATCCCACTCTTACCAAACCTCATCTAAAATTGCAACCAATGCCTTTTCCATCCCATCTCCAGGTCTGAATCCTGACCAAATGTGCCTAGACAGATTGCTCCATGCAGGGCCCTTTTTGTAAGTTCCATGTGACCACCTTCTCCACAACCTTCTTTTAAAAAGTGAGATTGGAGATTCATTATCACCACTATGTTTGTCATTGCACTGATTCAGACTATGGCTATCAAACATCAAAAATATCTGCCAGGCTACCTCACCTCCTTTACATGGACAATCTGTGCTGTATGGAAAAATATAATCTCAAATAGAATCACTGCTCAGCACTGCCCGTTTATATAGTCAATATATTGCAGTGGAGATTGGATTTTACAAATGTGTCATAGACACCATTAAACAGGGAAAAATTATGAAAACAGAAGGAATCATGATATCAAAAATCAAGATAAAGATGATCACTACAAATACCTAGGCATCCTTCAAGCTGGCCACATCAAGCAAGTAAGACAAGAGTAAAGTCAGAAATGAATACATCAAGAGAATAAACAAGATCTTAAAATCCAAATTCAGTGGAGAAACAACATCAAGCAAATTAACACCTAGTAATTCCAGTCATTAGATACACAGCTGGACTGGATTCAAGCAGAATTAAATGTTCCAAATAAGAAGACCAGAAAAATAATGGCAATGAATGATGCTCTTTATTCCCACAGTGATGCTGACAGACTCTATGTTATGGTTCCGGCTAATGAAACGCTTCAAAGAACTTCCAGGCATTGATTTTCCTAAAAGTAATTTATTGTTACAAAATATCAGCACAGGCATAACGAAGGTATGCTAAGATCTAAATTCTCTTCCTCTGAGCAGTTAAATTATCAGCATGTTCCCTCCCTAAATTAGCTGTCATATATCACGTTATCCAATTAGTGTGAAGGTCAAAGTTTTACTTCCTCGCTCTTTCCCAGCTTTTCCCTCCACCCTCTTCTGCTCTGCATTAACTCTAAAAATACCAGACAGTTCTGCATATTGTCAAAGCAAGAATATACAGTATTTGCAGCGTTGACACTCTACTTACCAAGGAAAATATTTCTGTGTGATGTTGCAAGTACATCACACAGTTGAAGAAAAAACGGTCATTGGAAAAATATAAAGAATAGTGAAGCTAGTATATCAGGAAAGCTTACAGAGACCAAACGGGCGTACAAGAAAGACCAAATGAAGAACAGAAAAGAGACATGGGAAGACAAAACATTGCATGGCCAGTACATAGAAATAACAGCAGTCAAAGCAGATGATAACAAGACTTGGCAATGGCTAAGAGTAGGAAAGCTGAAGAAAGGGATCAATGGGCTAATTCTGGGTGCACAAGATCAAGCTTTAAGAACAAAATCATATAAAGCCATAATTGGGAAGATAGCAATAGGAAGCAAGTGCTACCTCTGTCAAGAGGCTGAAGAAACAGTGGGCCACCTGATTAGCTGCTGCAAGAAGATCATGTAGACTGACTACAAGCAACGTCATGACAAAGTGGCAACAATGGTGCATTGGAAGATCTGCAAGAAATATCGTTTGCCTGCAAGCAAGAACTGGTGGTACCATAAAATAGAGGAAATCATAGAAAATGAAGAACCTGAAGTGTTTTGGGACTTTGGAATTCAAACCGAACAGGCACCTGACACATAACACCCCAGACTTATCAACTGTCAATAAGAAAGCAAAAAAGTCTGGATAGTGGATATGGCAGTACAGCACTTGGAGACAGCAGAAGAGAAGAGAAAGAATCGGAGAAGATACCAAAATACAAAAAGCTGCAAATAGAAATAGAATGACTGTGGCAAAAGCAAGCAAAAGTAGTACCCATAGTAATAGGGACCTTGGGTGCACTCCCAAGACAATTGGAGTACCACTTAAACACCATTGGCACTGATAAATCAGCATCAGTCAATTTCAAAATTCAGCTTTACTCAGAAGAACTTATATCCTGCAATGAGACCTCTCTAACACCATCAAACAACCATATCTGCCTATCCCAGGTCCTTTGAAGAATTTGATAGGTGGATAAAAGTCAGAACACTTGGCTGATTGTGTGATGAACCATAATAATAATAAATAGAAATAAATAAATAAATGGAGAGAGCCAGCTTGGTCTAGTGATTAAGGCACCAGGCTAGATGGTGGGAGACCCTGAGTTCATCCCACCTTAGCCGTGACCTCTGGCCAGTCACTCTCTCTCAACCCAAATCCCAACCCCAACACTGACCCACCTTATTCTTAACCCTATAAAAACTAATAAAATCTATACAAAAAAGAAGCAATGGATGGAAACTAATAAAGAAGAGAGGCAACATAGAACTAAGAAGAAATTTCCTGACAGTTAGAACAATTAACCAGTGGAATAACCTGCTTCCAGGAGTTGTGAATGCTCCAACACTGGAAATTTTTAAAAAGAGATTGGGTAGCCATTTGTCTGAAATGATATAGTGTTTCCTGCTTGAGCAGGGGGTTGGACTAGAAGACCTCCAAGGTCCCTTCCAACTCTGTTGTTCTATTCTATTCTATTCTATTCTATTCTATTCTATTTATGTTGAGACTTTGGAAAAAGTGCAGAAAAGAGCAACTAAGATGATTAAAATCCTGGAGACTCAAACATATGAGGAACGATTGCAAGAATTGGGTATGACTAGTCTAGAGAAAAGAAGGACTAGGGGTGACATGATAGCAGTACTTTAGTATTTGAAAGACTGGCATATATTTTCCAAAAGCAGGACAAGAAATAATGGATGGAAACTAATCAAAGAGAGAAGCAACCTGGAATTAAGGAGAAACCTCCTAACAATGAGAACAATTAACCAGTAGAACAGCTTGCCTTCAGAAGTTGTAGGTACTCCATCACTGGAGGTTTTAAAGAAGAGAATGGACAGTCAACTTGTCTAAAATGGTACAGGGTCTCCTGCTTAAGAAGGGTGCTAGACTAGAAGACCTCCAATGTCCCTTCCAGCTCTATTCTCAATGAAGCAGTGTGATGGGATAGACGTTTTTATGCTCTATCCATCCTATAACCTTCTTCCCATTTACCCAACAATGCAGCCCCCAACTAGTTACTTTCCAGTCTGTTAGATCTCATTGAAAAATTGGTAATTCTAGAACAGAGAGGAAATGAAATTTCACTTCAGGAATAAGTAATTTTAAAATCAGCTCCAATTGAGGATTGATATATGGAGATTTAATAGGAAAAAAAAATCACAAACTGGCCCTACTCCAAAATTAGTCAGGATTCAAGGGTAGTGATTGCTTCCATGGCATTAGAAGACAGACAGCACTAGAGTTAAGGGTCATCAAACCCAGAATGGCACCACAATCTATAGCTATGGTAACCTTTCCCAGTGATCTCTGGAGACAAGGTGCCAAGTTGAAGGACAGCAGAAGTCAATTTCCTTTGTCCAGCATCATTTTCTGGGCATATCCTGACAGGAAAGACCACAACCACTACAGAATAGTGTCCCCAGGAGTATATCTGTGTTTTTGCACTGACATGCTTTTCTCCAACTATCTCTCGTCACATGGAGCCCTGGAAGATCTTCAGGGTTCCCAGAGGTGAAGTCGCTTCACAGTGTAATTATCACCATCCTGTTCTTTGAGACCTCTTCTGTCACTTCTCCAGCCACTGCCTTGATGCAAACATCAGACTGAA